CTGCGTGCATTGGTGTAGATACACTTGAGGTGGGCTACCAATTTCGCCCCCAACATTGCTGTGCCACCCCTCAGTGTAGGGTGGTGGCAGTGGCTGGGGCAGAGGTGGCAGCCCCAGGTGGCTGGCGGGGGGTTGCGGTTGCCCACCCCAGACACCCCCCCAGCTGTGGGGTGGGCATGGGAACAGGGTGGCAGAAGGTCCTGCATGGGGCTGGCCAAGCCAGGGTGGTCCCTGAGCTGTGGGGTGGCCCATGGGCAGTGGGCTCCCCCCCACACCCTGGGCTTTGCACCCAGGCCTGGAGATCCCCCAAAAGCAGCCAAAACAGTGGGATTTTTGCATCCATGAACCACCCCCACATCATTTAACCCCCGTGAAAGCAACGAGCTGAGCAACACCATCCTGGGAAACCTTTTATTTCCACCTCCATCACCAATAAATACCCCCATTCTTGATAACAAATGCACAATATTTCCAATAAAATGTATGTAAGTTAAAAGCAAGGGGTGGACACAATAAATAAATATAAAAGCACTGGACAGATGCAATAAATAAGTAGAAATTGGGGTGACTCGGGCCCACAGGGCCCAGAGCTGCTATTTCACCTGAAATAGATGGGGAAGATGGGGGTCCCAGCTGGGGAGTTTGTACTTGGTACATACGGCCTGAAAACCGGTGACTGCCGGTTGGGTTGGGTTGGGTGCGGGGGCTCCTCAGCTCCCGCTCAGCTTGTAGGTGGCAATGTTGACCTGGTCAGGCTGGTTGGTGATGCCGACGGGCTGGGGGGGCTGCAGGGAGGTGCAGACGAACCAGCCGGGGAAGGCGGCCGACTCGAAGCGGGTGGTCCGCTCGGCCAGGCTGTCCAGGCGATAGAAGATGAAGCGGGTCAGCTCCATGCTATCAATGTCCCTCCTGATGTCAGCTTCCTACAACCGGGGGGGTGAAACAGGGTTCAGGGTGGGATGGAGCCCCCAGCCCCACAGGGAATGGAAACAGCGGGACCCCCCGCTCACCTCCAGCTGCAGCACGGGCTTAGTGCCACTCATCACACAGGACATATAGAGTTGGTAGCCCTTGATGCCCAATGCCACTGGCATCCGCCCGGTCCCTGGGCCACCCTGCGATGACTGGGGACGGTACAGAGCGATGTTGAGCTTCACTGCAGAGAGAACAGATGGGTTAACAGGTGGTCCCAGGGCTGTGGGGTGGCTCCCGGGTGGTCCCGGGGTTGGGGACGGGGACATTGGGTCAGGACCGTGTCCCCTCACCTTTCCGCCCGGCGGAGGGTCCCTGCAGGTGCAGGGCCACCAGCTGGGTTGGCGACTCCAGCACGAAGCACTTGTGTTCGATGTCGAAGATGTCAAAGGACTGGGAGCGGGTGTAGCGGTAGACGGGTGCCCCGGCGTAGCTACCCTCGACCCGCTGGAAGGAGACGGGCTCTGCGGGGAGGGAGATGGTCAGGGGGATGCTGATGCTCCCATGTCCAAGAGCATCCCCCGCCTGGGGTGACGCCCCCGACACCACCCTCCCTTACCGAAAATATCATCCAGGAAGCTCCCAAGGTCACTGTCAGTGAAGTCTTTGTGTGCCGGCCGCTTCAGGAGCTTGGTCACAGCCACCACAAGGATGGCGACCCGGCGAAAGGTCCTGGCAGGGTGGCCCTTGGTCACCGTCACCTGGATGCCCAACCGAGGCAATGTCATCTCTGAGTCCAGGCGGGGTTTCTGGGGAGGAAAGGGGATGTGGGGTGAGAGCCTGGCTTCCCCATCACGGGGGTCTCGCTGTTCCCACCACCCCAGTGTTACCTTCTGCAGGCAGAGACAGTCAGGGCCATAAAATGTCTCCTCGTTCAGGCTGGAAGACAAAGGGAGATGGTGAAGCCAGGGCCACCATGGCACCAGGGCAGCATCGCGTCCCCAATGTCCCCTCTGGCATGGCCACGCTTACCTGCTGCTCTCCAGTGTGTCCAAATCAGGGACGAACGCCATCTCCGCCGCTGACTGCAAAAATCTGGGCAGAGACCTGCCGGTACCTGTCGAGTGCCCCGGCCCTTGGCTGCCTGCTCCTGCCTATTCTGCCTGCAGCGTCGCTTGGGTGCTCTCTGAGCCCGGCGTCGGCGCGGCGGGTTTTCAAGAGCCGCTGGAAGGAAGCGCCGTCAGAGCGGGATTTCCACCTTTCGCAACGCCTGGGTTTGCCCAGTTCCTCTGGTGAGACTGGGAGGGCTGGGGGGCTGGCTGCCCCCGAGCAGCGCCATGGGGCTGAGCGAGGGGCCGTGCGTGGGGCAGAGCAGGGGGGATGCTTTGAGGCTGGTGTGTGGGGCAGAGCAGGGG